GAAATACCAGAAATATCTGTCATTTCTGTTGGGCATATAATCTTTGTGACAAGAAGGCCTTCAGAAAGTTGTGGAAAACATCCATTATCTTTTAATTCCATTTTTCCTTCAACATTTGAAACCACCTCGTTATTTGGAGGTTAATGGTGTGATCGGGGAGCTGTGGTAACACAATGGTTAAGTGCTGGGCTGCCAACTGACAAATTGGTGGTTTGAATCCACCGTCTCCTCAGGAAGGCTCTGGGAGTCAGCTCCGGTACTGTTGCTTGGAGACCCTCTGGGGCACTTCTCTGTCCTATAGGGTCACTGTGAGTGGGGATCAACTTGCCAGCAATGGCTTTATTATATGCTCAAGAAAAAGATTCGTCTTTTTGGCATCACTGTGCTTATTTTAACTTATCTAGCAGTATTAAAAGGGCTTTGATTGGTATTATCAGCATTGCTATCATCTTATTTAATCTGAAATATGTAGAAACATATTAGAAACATTTCCTAATTTTTTACTTTAACCTTGCTGTAAGACTTTGCTTAATTATTCCTTTTGTTTTTTTTAATGCCACCAGGTATTTACTATGCAAGACCTATTACAGCTCATTAAAATCAACCCTTCCTCCAGTCTCTACAAATCTCTGGTAGGACTGTTTCATTTTTTTAGTCTGCCTGATTTGTTCATTGTAACCGAATTGTTGACTAAAAATGACATATTTTCCTTTAACAGATATCTGGATTCGAACAAGAAAACCAAAAAGGTAGGTACCTGTGTGGAGAAGAGCAACAATTTTGTCGTGGTTGTGTACACATGGTTGTGTACTCATTCCTATAAAAGTATGAAAGGAACGTTTTTCAGAGAAAGCACAGGAAATTCAATTTGAATGAAATCATCTGATATCCAGCTCAATAACACTTTACCTTTTAAATCACACCCATTCTGCTGCTGTTCTGGCAGATGGTTATGTAGTGTTACGAGTTGGGCTGCTAACTGCAAGGTCAGCACCTTGAAACCACCACTGTACCTCCGGAGACAGACCGGGCTTTCAACTCTGGTAAAAATAGTTATAGTCTCGGCAACTCACAGGGCAATTCGACCCTGTCCTATAAGGGTCACTATGAGTCGGCATCGATTCTGGCAGGGAGTGAGTGGAGGCCTTCTGCAAGTCTTGCCATTAAAAACAAGAACAAACAAAATCAGTTACCTGCTAGTCAAAGTCCTGGCTGGCAGTGGTTAAGTGCCCGACTGCTAACAGAAATGGACATTTCTACCCTGTCCTATAGTTTGGTTTGGGTTTGGTGTCGTGGCAAAGAAACCTGTGTAAATTCATGGAAGTAGAGTGACCAGGTTAAAGAGCATATGCACTTTGAATAAACTGATACATTTCCTTCCCCAGTGAATGAGAGTGCCAACTGCCTTGCCAATACAAAAGTTGCAATCTGATAGGGAAAATGGGGTCTTTCCATCGTAGTAGTAATTTGCACTGATTTATGTTTGTTCATCTTTGACATGATACGTTTCTGTTTTCTTTGAACTGCTTTTTCCCATTTTCTTATTTTTATAACTGATTTGCCAGAGCTCTCGGATACTAAGACAATGAGTTACCTCTGTCTCCTTGTTATTGCATTGTTTTATCTCATTTGCCTTTTGATTCTATTTGTACTCTGCCATGCTGTATGTAGTGCTTATGTGGTTTGATTGATAAATATCCCTCACTGCTTCTAGGTTTCATGCTGTCATATTTGGACAGGACTTCCCTCAGAGAATACTATTATTTTTCATGTAAACCTGGGTGCTGTAAGACTTTGGTTATATACACAATACAATGGCTGTGGGGCAATCTTCTGAAGCCCAATTGTGTACATTGTGTGTTGTAGGTTTTCTTATGCTGTTTCTGAAGGAGTTGGCGGAATATCATCAGGCTAGAGAAAGCTGTGATGCCCAAACTCAAACCATCTCTACGTTTCCATACAAAGACTCTCTCGGTAAATCAGGGCTGCTTTCCTCAGTCCAGCCCTTCTATTTTGTCTTGTGAAGAGTTTACCTGACTTACCCTATTATGGGGGCATTCCTTGAGCCAGAGAGGGATGCCACCTGCAGGTGACCAGGGCATCTGTTTGTTCAGAATCCTATCATCGGAAGGAAGCAGGAATTGCTGGGAAATGGTAGTCGGAGTCCTAATAGTAGGGTCACCAGAACTTCAACTGACTTAAATGAGATCCCCACTCCCAACCTCATCCTTTCTGACCCCAGCTGGCCCTCCCTTCCTCGGCACTCTCCACCTCCTTGCCGGCCTGGAACACCCATCGCAGCAGCCGCACAAACCTCCCAGAACATGCCCGCAGTTAGGTTGCTTAGTAAGGGACAGGCTCCAACTCGGGGTCAGGCTCAGGAAGCATGGAGGCCCAATCTCCCTTCTTCAGTGCAGGGCAGCTCTCAGCTCTTTTCTGCCCACCTAGCTATCAACACCGGTTCTGCTGCTCAGCCCCTTCTGGGGCCCGTCCCGGGTCCCCTACCTTCCTCAGTGCTTCAGCCTGTAATCAGTGTTCCAGTTCTTCCCTCGGTGCTCCTCCCTTTCCTCCACCTCCCCATTTCTCACAACCCCCACTGGAACAGGCTGCTTAAATACACAAGGCCTGGCAAATTTCAAGGCATGGCTCTCTCACCAAGGCCTTTTCAAATGGACCAAACCAGGACCAGTCTCAGTCCCCACTAGGTAGGGCTTAGATACTTCATTTGCATAGTGCGCTTCTATTGACCAATCCCTGCAAGGTACGCACCAATCACTGGACAGGTTGCAGTCCGGTACCAAACAAGTATCCAAAGCACATTTTAGAGCAGACCCAGGGCACATCAGCCAATCTGGACAAAAAACGGCAAACCCTCCGGGTTAAAAAGGTAACTCCTCAGAGTTGTGAGGCAAATGCAATCACTGGAGCTCCTTTTTCTAAAGAGCCCAGGCCGAAGACCACATAAAGGACCTCACTCACCACAGCGACTCTCCTATGTCGCTTACTATCCCCCTGGGGCCTCGTGCATGTCCCAAGTGAAGCGGGGATCTCAGGACCCACATTCTTCCCGCTTTGTTGTATTCAGCCTCTCTTAACTAGGCAGTTGTTCTTTATGCCTAAATTCATTTCACAACCACTAAGCCATAGACACTGCCAGAGCCAGAGCTAGAGCCATTGCTGGCCCATCACTTCATTGCAGGTTTGAGGAAACCGAAGTCCCAGAGGAAGAGCAACTTAGAAGCACCTCATTTGTGCCAGGAATAATGCTGGACACCATCTTTTCTGGTCCAAGGCACAGAGCTTTCCCATGGGAGAGCCTTTCTCCAGCACACCCTTCCCTTTAGCCGTGTGCTCAAGTAGAGATGGGAAACCTAAGGCACATGGCCATCTGTTGCCACATCTGTAAAGTGACAGAGTTCACGTTCAGATCAGGGCAGTGAACCTGAGAGTCAGTTTTCATCAAAGTCTAGTCAAAGAGCGCCCTGCCCTGGCCCTGAAAGACTGGGTGGGGCTTTGATGGTATTGGCGTCACTGTACTCTTTGCAGCCCGCTTACCCTGAATGGTGAACGTTTTCCAACGTACATCAAAGGTGAAGGGATTTTATAGTGAGCATTTACCAGGCCACCACCTGTAGTCACGATGATTAAATTGTGGTTCTACTTGCTTCATCACTCATCCAGTTTGCGTTCGAGCTGTCCCTTAAAGTAAATGGCAGCCATCCCTGCCCTTGGCCACAGCACCTCTGCTTGGGACAGGGGCCTGGCCCTGTTTCTGTACCCTAATCACAGGTGCTGCTTCTTTCCAGCTGAGAAGCTTCGCCTCATCGATGATCAGTTTGCAGATGCTTATTCTCAGCGCCCGAAGTTGGAGTCTCTAGAAGCAAAGTTAAATGAATATAAGAGAGAGATAGAAAAGCAGCTTCGGGCAGAAATGGTGCAAAAGGTAGGCTTTCTCTCAGCTCTATTCCCCAAGAGCGATTCTTGGACTTGTTGGTCTTTCAATGTCTTAATCCTAAGGATATGGGGAAAGACCTAGAACTTTTTATAGTGACTAGGCTACTCTCCTGTTATGCATATTATTTTCATTTCCATCAGATGTCATGTCTGTGTGCCTTTTGCACCAATCTCACAAGTTGTGTGAATGAGGTAAAACGAAAGGTTAAATTCAAACAGATCTTCATACATTTGGGCAGACTGTTAATCTGAAGCACAGCTGTGGAAGAAGGGTTACTATTTCAGGAGTGATTTGTCCTTAACGGGTTGTGCTCTTTTGACAGTTGAAATATTTTAAAGACACGGAATTGGGGAAAGTGAGAATGGAAGAGAAAAGAAAGTATGAGAAAGAACTGGCTGGGTTCCAGACTGAATTTGAGAAAGTTTGTCAAGCAAAATCCGAAGCTCTCACTTTGCGAGAAAAGAATACCGTTGAGAGGCTTCGGAAGTACCAGGAGGTAAGATTTAGAAGTCAACTATTAGGTACGTGCACTGAAGGTGTGGGACGGAGAGAGGCAACTCCCAGGTTCCCGCACTGGGCTGGTTATTAGACTCACCTGGGGGATGCAGTGACTCACTCATCTCCTCCTACCCCCTCCCCCCTCCCGGCCGCGAGATTCTGATTCTCTTTCAAGTGGAGCCTTGGGATCTGTATTGATCAGCCAAGTTGAGGAGCCCAGGGAGTGACTGGTGGAGCAAGGCCCCCAGGAAGCAGTGGGTGCTGCGGTCAACAGGGGAAACAGATGTCCTTCCCCCAACCATTAGGGGGAAGGATGGTAGGCAGGAATGTCGAGGTTGAGATTATGAAAGGTTCATACCCAACCAATTCCACCATGGGCAGATTGGAGGGGCGGGCTGAACCAAGCCAAGGGTTTGAGGAGACGACTACAGGTGTAGAGTGGCTACTTGTGGGCAGAGAGGCCCCATCCAGCCTGGCTAAGGACCTAGCAGAAGGAACACCTGGGGTTGGACTTGGCTGAACCAAGTGTTTTCAGGTGATTTTGTGGTGCTCACCCCTGGAAGTGGGGTGGAGAGCTGGGTTGTAAGGCCAGTGAGGAGACAGAGAGCCATTTGCTCAGGACCTGGAGCTTCATACTGCTTGATTTCTTTTTATGAAGAAAGTCAGTTCTTTTTCGTCGAAGACACTGGACTTTGGCCAAGTGCTGAAGGGAGTCGGAAAAGAGGGTCAGTGGTTGGTAAATAGGAGAGCAGAAGGGGGGTGGTACAAGGCAGACTGGGAGAGATCAGAGAAGGGTCTGGGGAGAGCGTGGGTGGAAGAAGAGAGAGACTGGAGGGTGCAGCTTTTTAGGCAGATCTCAATAGAAGGCAGGAGCCACAAAGCAGTGCCTTTTCAGGATGCTGAAGTGGGGCCAAGGTGGGGGCCTTGGAGCAGAGGGGTCCAACCACGTGGCCGCATGGAGCATGATCGCACAAGAGGTGGAGAGGTCAAGGTGTGGAGGGCAGTTGGGTTACCAAGCCTTTCCCAAGGACCATGGCTTAGCTCAGCTCAGACTGACTTTGTGGTTCTGTTTCCAGTTCCAGTCTATGGATGGCAGGAGGTGGGAAAAATCAAGGGCACTTTCCCTAAGATTACGCCCCCACCCCCAACACACACACTTGTTTGGGCCTTCTCAATTAGATCTTATAGTTTGATGAGAATTGCTCCCCCTCTACAATATCATGGAATTTCCGGCAGACGGGCTCCTTTCCATTGTGAAGCTACATGACACTTGTCTCTGAGATGACCAGCTATGGTTTACAGTAACAGCTTCCCCTTCAAGCTAGGTTACTGGCTAGGTCAGACCAGCCAGCAGGCGACTTGGAGTTCCCCTCTGGAGAAGAGCCCATGAGGGGATTCTTAGTAAAACTCTCATAGAAAGCCCTTGGCCTGTATTCCTCTGCCTGGAATGCCCTTCCCTTCTCTCTTGAAGAAATCGGAACTGTCCTAGATCCACCTTAAATGTTACCTCCTGGTGACACCATCTCTGACTCTCCCTGGTTAACCCTGTCAGGTGTGTGTCAGGTTGTCTGTTAGCACATTTGAATGTGTATGTTTGTTGTGTCCCTTAAAAGCAAAAAAACACAGACAAATCAAACTTACACCAGCAAGTCGATGCCGACTCAGAGTGACCCTGTAGACCCCAGGCCTATAGTATAGGGCAAGGTAGAACTGCCCCATGAATTTCTGACACTAACTCTTTATTGGAGTAGAAAGACCCATCTTTCTCAGGAGGTGGTTTCAAACTGCTGACCTTGCAGCTAGCAACCCAATGTATAGTCACCACACCACCAGATTTCCCTTAAAGGGAGGGACTCTTATCTGCTCAAGGGACTTTGGTGGCTCTGTGGGTTAAGCACTGGGCTGCTAACCACACAGTCAAGGTTCAGACCCACCAGCTGCACTGAGGAAGAAAGATGAGGCTGTCTGCTCTGGTAAAGATGGACAGTCTTGGAACCCCCACATAGGGCTGCTTTGCACCGGAATCGACCTCATGGCAGTGAGTTTGGTTTGGGTGGTTGTGTCTGCTTACCTTTTTATATGTATCTAGGCAGAGCCTACCTGTGTGCACACATATAATGGAAGTGAGGCTCATTCACTCCAAATTCAGATTCACTTTCTGAGCCAGGCAGGGCCTGCAGCGTTCACACACCACATCCAACAGAGCCAGAAACCAAACCAAACTCACTGAGTTGATGCTGATTCATAGTGAGGAGACTGTAACTCTTTATGGGAGTAGAAAGCTCTGTATTTCTCCCGTGGAGCGGCTGGTGGTTTCAAACTGCTTACCTTCTGGATCGCAGCCCAATGTATAACCCGGTGGCTCTATTCTTTTTGGAATTTTCTTCCACTTAGCGGAACCGTCATTGGGGAAGGGGGTACATTTTTCTGAAAATAGATCGAGCCAAAAATATATCTTGAAATTGGAGTCTTCTGATGAAAGTTTAATTGTTACTTTAAAGACCCATGCTTTGATTGTTTTATTATTATTACTGGTGGGAGAGGGATTTTGGAGGCAAGATATTAGTTTAAATCTGTTTGGGTTTCCTTTGCTAGCTTGCTAAAAATTAATGCCTTCCTGTACAGATTGAAACCAGAGAGATTTATGCCCAAAGGCAAATTCTACTAAAAGATATAGATCTGCTAAGAGGCCGAGAAGCAGAACTGAAGCAAAGAGTGGACGCTTTTGAATTGTAAGTAGTACGTGTCCATTTTAGGTATTCAGAATAAGGTGAAACAGCTCTTTTCTGAATATCCGAGGGGGTACTCCCCCAAATCAGAATTGAATTGCCCTGGGCAGAGCTTTCGTAGTAAGCATTTCCCCCAGTTGGCAAGCACCGAGCAACTCGCTCTGAGTTAGTGTACCCAGTGGTGCTGCCTGGGAAGGTTCTTTCTGTTTACAGTGAGTCTTTTGTAAAAGCAGTTTCTGCTCGAACCTTTTTTTGTGTGATGGCCGATTTCAGAGAACAGTGTGTGGCTGTGAAATTTTGTTTTCCTGCTTGGGAAAAATGCCGTAGAAGCTGTTGTGATGGTGAATACAGCTTACAAGGACAGCTCCATGGGAAAAACTCAAGTGTATGAGTGGTTTTCTCCTTTCATAAAAGGTGAAATGTCAGTTGATGACAAACTTCATTCTGGATGTCCATCAACTTCCCGAATGGATGAAAATGTCAACTCATAGTGCATTTGGAGTTTGTTCCACCAGGTCAGACTGTTAATCAAGCTTTCTATTTGGAGGTTCTGAAAAGATTGCTTAACAGTGTGTGACATAAAAGGCCTGATTTTTGGCAGACGGGGGACTGGTTTTGCCACCATGATAATGCACCTGCTCATGCAGCCATCTCAGTGCGCCAGTCTTTGGCAAAAAATAGCATGTCTTTCTTGCTCCACACATCTTAGACACCTGACCTCGCTCCATGTGACTTCTTTTTGTTACTGTGAATGACGAGGGACATGAAACACAGCTATTTGATACATAGAAGAGGTGAAAGAAAAAAAGGGGGGGAGGTGTTGTCAGGCATCCAAACGGTTGAGTTTGAAAAATGTTTTCAAGAATGGAATCGCAGATTTCACAAATGTATTAAGTGTAATGGAGAGTACTTTGAAGGTGATAAAGGTTTTTTGTAAGAAAATTTACATAGTTTTGAAAAAAGATTCCATTTTGGGGGGGTACCCCCTCATATGTAGGTACCCCCTAAATATTCACATGGTAATTATTACCTAAGCTCTTTGGCTATACCTGGTGCTATTACTGAGTTTTTAAAAAGTCGAAGTTAAATATCCGTTAGAGTCTTCTGTTCGAATCCACCAGGAGAAAGATGTGGCTGGCTGCTTCTGTAAGAACTGTTGCCCTGGAAAACCTATGGGAGCAGTTCGACTCTGTCCTCCGGGCTCGCTGAGCCAGCGGAGAGAATCAACAGAGGGTTTGGTGGCTTTGATTGATCATCTGGGGGAGCTTTAAAAAAGTTGTCAGGAAACTCCATATTGTGTTAATTCCACGTTTCCAGAGTTTTTGGAAGCCCCTTCCTGAAGGGACCCAGAAAGAAAGGCTCGGGGTTTTGCTTTGGCAGTACAGTGAACCCTCGCGCTTCGACTTCCGCGGCTTCACTCTATCACGGTTTTTGCGTAACAGCACCCACTGCCTACACCCACTCCTTCAGAGGAAAAAGATGGCGACCCACCTGTAGAGTATATCCCTTAAGTCATTTCATAGGCTATTGATTACAGTATTTGTAAGAACTATGTATAATAATACTGTATGTGGAATATGTAATACTGTAAACTAGATGCCATAAATAATATAATAAATAATAAATGATAATTGTAACGTCCAAAATGTTTTACTGTATTTTCCCTTTTTTGTTTAATAAATTGGGTAATACGAGTGTAATGGTGACTAAAGGGTGTTTTTTCATGTCCTCTATGCTCTAACTACGAAAATATTCGATTTACAAATAAGGAATCCTACTTCGCGGAATTTCCTTTATCACGGTAGGGTCTAGAACCGATTAACCGTGATAAACGAGGGTTCACTGTATTAGACAGTAAGATGAGAAGCCATCCTCTGGTCACGGCACGAGCAAATTGAAGCTGGGGCCTTGCTGATGCCAGTGTCCAGAGCCTGGCTCCAGGGACTGGCCGGCTCTAGGGACCAGCTCTGCCCCACTCTGGGAGGGAAGTACAGTGACCCTGGACTGGGTGGGCTGTGGCTCGTGGTGTGTGGCACTTGTTTCCCCCTTCAGATCTTAGCTAGCCAATTTAAATAGTTTGTGGAATAACCTTTTCTTGATGTGCATGTGCTATTCATTGCTATCTAGTTCCGTCTCAGATTCTTATTGACTTTATTCATTTCATCCCCATCCAGGCATCATTTGTTTGAGAGATGCAATCAGTTTGATTTTTTTTGGTCTCTCTCACTCTATCTTTGGCAATCCTAAAAAGGTCAGTTGACTGAGAATAAAGAAAAGGGACCAACCCCAAACTCCAAATTCATTGCCATTGAGTAGATGGCAATTCATAACAACCCTATAGGACAGGGTAGACCTGCCCCTGTGGGTTTCCTTATGAGAGCAGACCGCCTCATCTTTCTCCCTAGGAGTGGCTGGTTGTTTTGAACTGCTGAACTTGTAGTTGTAGAAACCCAACGTGATATGTAACCATTACTCCACCAGGGTTCCTGAAAGAAAAGGGATAGATTTTGGATAGTCATTATATGATCACTTTTTTGCCCCCACTTCCCCTACCATATTGCTCTGCTTGCAAGCATTGGACTGCTAACTGAAGGGTAAGTGGTTCAAATTCACTAGATACTTCAAGGGAGAAAGAAAGATGAGTCTGTCTGCTCCCATAAAGATTGACAGCCTCCGAAACCCTACATAGATAGGGTGACTGATTCAGATTGGACTGGATGGTAATGGGTTTGGCTTTTTTGGTTCATTGCTCTGCTACTCTACAGATCAGCCAGCAGAGGGCGCTAATACACTGCATACACAGGGCCTTTAGGCTATCCCTGGGAATTTGAGGAGTCCCTGTAAGCCCAAAGGCCCTTGCTCTAGAACTGTTTGAGTGGTTGATCAAAGGCTCACCCTGGAGCATGGAGACCATGCCTATCATTATTACTCAATTAGTGGGCTATTCTGTAACAAAAATGATGCTTGTAGATTCCACACTTAAGAGACTGTCACTTTCAAGAAACAAGCACTTCCTTTACACGTGCAAGTTTTATTTGTAATGTTGTAACATTACTCTTCCACCCCTAATTGAACGGGACCACTCATCCAACACTTGTTTAATCATCCTCCTTGGAAAAGCACTCTGGGCTGAAGCCTTCACACTCCCCAGCCCAGTGCCCCGGAACAGCTCCGTCTAGTATCGCCAACGCGCCGAGACTGAGTCAGTTCAGAAAATGGGTGGGAAGCGGGGCTTCTGGATCTTTCTCTCCTTTTCTTCTCCAGCCAGCAGAGACAGTGAAACTACAGCTGACTGTTGATATCTTGTGCTAAAAACCAGTGCTCCTTTCTTTTTAAATGAGTTCGCTCCGATGTATTCTGATGTTGGCTCACTCCGTTTTTGTGTGTGTGCCCATTTCAGAGCCCAGAAAATGCAAGAGGAGAAGAACAAAAGCGTGGAGGATGCACTGCAGAGACGGGAGCTAGGCCTGAAGACATTTGAGGAGACCTGTGACCAGAAGTTCCAGACAGAACTTCTCAAGTAAGTGTGTGACCTCTTTAAAGAGGGCTAGCGCATTTCGATCCAGGGACAAAACCATGCTAAAAACCGAAACAGTGGTAAAGACTAACATTTTATAACAACATTTAGTGTTTAAAAATATGTAGATTTATTTTTCATTGTCATTCAAGCCTTTCCCATGACTATTTGCATTGGGGCAATTTTAAGAGCTTATTTGGATCTGGGTAGTTTTGTTTTTTTTTAATCATTTTATTGGGGGCTTGTACAACTCTTATCACAATCCATACATACATCCATTGTGTCAAGCACATTTGTTCATTTGTTGCTATCATCATTCTCAAAACATTTGCTTTCTAATTGAGGCCCTGGTATCGGCTCCTCATTTTTCCCCTCCCTGCCCCGTCCCCCATGAACCCTTGATAATTTATAAATTATTATCATTTTGTCATATCTTACAATGTCCGATGTCTCCCTTCACCCACTTTTCTGTTGTCTGTCCCCCAGGGAGGAGGTTATTTGTAGATCCTTAGAATCGGTTCCCCCTTTCCACCCCACCCTCCCTCCATCCTCACGGTATTGCCACTCTCACTACTGGTCCTGAAGGGATCATTTGTCCTGGATTCCCTGTGTTTCCAGTTCCTATCTGTACCAGTGTACATCCTCTGGTCTAGCAAAATTTGTAAAATAGAATTGGGATCATGATAGTGGGGCAGGGAAGAGGAAGCATTTAGAAACTAGAGGAAAGTTGTATGTTTCATCATTGCTATTCTGCACCCTGACTGGCTCGTCTCCTCCCCGTGACCCTTTTGTAAGGGGGTGTCCAGTTGCCTGCAGATGGATCTTGGGTCCCCAGTCTGCGCTCCTCCTCATTCACAATGATTTTATGTTTTGTTGGATCTGGGTAGTTTTAAAAAGAAGAAATGATGCCTTTGACTTCTGGTGTTGGCAAAGAATGTCGAATCTATCATGGACTGACTGATGCACAGCCAGAATGCTTCTTAGAAGGGAGGATTGGGAGACTTTGTTTCAGGTACTTTGCACAGGCTTAGTGTGGAGGATCCGTAACAAAGAGGAAGACCCTCCAGTAGATAGACTGACGCAGTGAATGCAACAATGGACCCCAATAACAACAGCTGTGAGGATGGCGCGGGACTGGACCAGAGTTTTCTGGTCTATAGGGGTGCTATGAGTCAGAGCCAACTCAACAGCAACAGCTCACCCAAGACCGTGGAGAGAGACGAGTACCAAGTGCCCATGTTTAAGCACAGCTTCTCTGCTGTTTACTGGCAGCCATGGTCCGTTTCAGTTTTTAGAACACAGCTAGTAAGCTATAGCGTTTGGAGTGACTCTGAAGCTCAGCCCCACTACAGCCATTAAGAGCAGGTGGACAATTTATAAATGAGTCTATTTACCACTTCAGTGGTGCTTCTGGACTAAGGAGGACTAGGACGAAAGGGCTCACCATCCACTGCTGAACATCAGCCCATGCAGATGCAGTGAGCCAGGCAGGTGACAATGCGGAGTGGATCTCCTACTAGAGCCGGCCTGTACTTAAACAGAAGTGGAGGTCAGAATGCTTATATGTGTCTCGTGTTATAGACACACAGTGGCTCTTCCACAGGTTGGTTTTGAAATGGTGGCTTTCATTCACAAGTTTGATGTTAGCCCAGGGACAGCCAGCGCTGAAACATCTGTTCACATCAAACTTCCGGGAGGCAAAGACAAGAAGGGGGCATGTTCATTATGCATAGCCCTACAGACTGGGCAGGGTTCGGCACCTTTGGACCTTTTCCATGGCCTGGAAGATGCCTAGTGTAGGGTCACCGCCTCTAGCTTGGGGAAGGTGTGCTGTTGGGCGGCTACTCACCCCGGGAAGGCGTGGCCTGCTGCCCTTGCGCCCAGCTTTGAACCTGGAAGCTGCCAAAGACGGTCACAGTGGGGCTCACTGCTCTGGAGATGCTGCTACTGACTTGTTTGCTTTCAGGCTGTGTTCCTCACTAGAGCGTCTCATATTTCTACTTGTTTATTGTGCGTCCGGTGACACCGACTGAACGATAATGGCTCTCAGCAACCTCACAATAACACAGCCCTTGGTTTTTGTCGGATTGAGGTTTGGGAGCCCAGTTTTTGGACGGGGCAGAGCCTTTCCTGGTGAGAATCCTGCCCCCTGGTCTGGGGCTCCAGGGAGCCCAATTGTAATACCTTTTCCTGAGTCTCTTAAGGCACCCCGGTGCCATGCATTAGCTCACCTGTTGGTGGCAGCATGCCCTGGAAAATGTCCAAGAAACTCAGTTTTGGTCTCTGATCCTCAGGTATCAACTTGAACTACAGGACGACTACATCTGTAGAACTAATAAGCTGGCTGAAGAGGAAAGAAGAAATAAAGGTGATTCTTGGCTGGGAGGTAGTGTGGAGGTGGGCATCTGGCGTTCTCAGTCCTGAGGTCAGTTTCGCAGTTCTGACGTAAGCTGCGAGGAGCTGGATCTGGTCTGTATTCTGAGAAACCCTGTAGCTCAGACTTCGTTGTGAAGTCTTACTTTACAAAGTGCCAAACTTAGCATGGCCTTTGCGCTACCCTTTGCCAGTGTGCATGTATTTCCAGGTGGGTGGGTGGTTTATTGTCGCTATTTTGTCCCACCTTTATTTCTATGCAAGGTCAGCACACTGAAACCACCAGTTGCTCCTCCGGGGAAAGACTGGGCTTTCCACTCCCATAAGGAGTTTATAGTCTTGGAAACTCACAAGAGCAGCTTGTCCTGATAGGGTCGCTATGAGTTGGAGTCAGCTTGATGGCAGGGAGTTTTTGGTTCTTTGGTCCTTTCGATATAGTTTTATGTAAAGGTGGGTGGGTCAGGAAGGCAGTTTGGCAGCAGCGACAGCTAATTGTCACCCAGAAGTTTTTTCTCCTGCTCCTTACCAAGAGAGACTTGCTTACTGTGGGAGAATGGTCATGACTTCTTCATTCATACTATCTGCACGAATTTCCCATTTCCTTGACTTTTTTGAAGGGATCTTCAAAAAGTTCATTGGAAAAATTGCATTTTCATGCCAGGTTTCTGTGAGCAAGGGGAACAACCTGTGTATATTTTTGTGCTTTTATCAGGTTTTGACTTGGCAGGTCACCTTCTAGATTCCCGTGTCCATTCATTGGAGATTGGGAAATGTGAATGATGTTGCCAGGCCTCTGGGCGTGTTACATGTCAGTTATTTCAAGGAAATTGCCTGTGACGAGAATTGGAATTTGGAGGAAATCTCAAAGACCCCTTAGGAATCAGCCAGGCTGATATTTAATATTGATGAGACACCCAACTTGGTGCTGTCCCTTTTACTACTAGCTTGCGGAAACAAGGATGTCTTTAGGCATTAATATGAGTATGTAGTCAGCAAACATTTTAAAACTTTTTATTGTGATCCAAAGTGGAAGTTTTATTTCCACTCAACAATTCCGACGCACATTGTTACGTGCCTTGGACTACAATCCCACCCAGCACCTCCTTTCACTTCCTGCCAGAGTTTCCCGGGCCCATCCTTCTTTCCCATCCCTTTCTGCCTTTGGCGCTTTCGCTCTGGGCAAATGCTCCCCTTCTGATCCTGGGTGTGGCTGTTCACCTTCTAGGCTGAACGTTGAGCACCAAAGAACATCTTAAGGGCTGTAGTCCCGAAGATGTGTTAAGGGGTATAGTCTTGGGGGAGGAAATGATCTTGGGACTACATGTTTGCGTTGTCTTATGTTGGGGGAAGTGAAAATATAGAACAGTAATAGCCAAATCTTTGTCTCGAAGGAAATTCAAGTCTGTTAGCTGAAGGCCCTGTGCCCTGAGCAGATGGTATAACTCGGATTAAAGTATGTAGTAGGCAAAATGTCCCCGCTTACGAAGAGGCTCTGGAAAGGTTGTGGGTAAATGAGATTAAAAGAGAATGGAATTTTCCCACAAACTTCTTGAAGCCTCTTCAACATATGACTTAGAACTTCCTGTCAGCTGTTGGGTAACAAGCTTTATTTCCTCCTTGCCTACTGAATGTGTGATCTGTGGTGGCACAGTAGTTAATCGCTCGCCTGTGAACTGAAAGGTCAGATATTTGAACCCACCAGCTGGCCCATGGGAGACAGATGGGACAGTCTGCTTTCTATGAAGAGCCCAACCTTGGGAATGCTATAGGGCACTTTTCTACCCGACAGGGCTGCTATGAATTGGAATCGACTTGATGGCAGTGGGTTTTGGGGGCATTTGCTATTCAGATTATGAAAGATTGCTTGTTTCTGTCCTAGGTATTGGTCACAAATGATGAAATGGCATTTGTATTCTCCCTGAAAGCATTATGACTAATTGGTTGCCCTTTTCTTTTAGAATTAGCCAAGCGTTTGGAGGAAGAGCTCACAGCTATTAATTCCAAAAAGCAAGAATTCAGTCAGTATGTAAATCGTGTGAGAGAACTTGAGGTAATCATGAACTTGTGATTTTCTCCCAAATATGCATTAGGAAGTATGTGAAACGTTCATTTCCATCATATATCATTCATCGAAAGTTTCCCTCCGGGCACATTGGGACTGTTTATTACATGACTGAGAAGGTGGTGGCTGAAGGTCCCCTGATGAAACACTCTTAAGTCGCAGGCAGGGGGGCGCGTGGTAAAAGCATGCACTTTGGAGACCTTGAATCCTGCCTGTCCTCTCAGCTTCCCCACCCATAACATTTGGAATCCTGCCTCTACCACAGGGCGGCTGGGGGGGCTTCAGAACCTAGTGGGCATGGGGGTCAGTACAGGCCACTTTTTACCTCAGCCTCTTCCCCGCACTTAGCAGCACAGATCACTCCACAAGTGGCCGGCCGATGAGAACCAGTGGAGATGCACTTTCCCACACCACTCATGCCTGGTTTCTGTTCCTCAGTGTGCTGAGGGACAGGGTGGAAACTCTAGGTTCTTCAGATATAATCTCTAGATCCAGTTCATGTTGCCCCCGGGATGACGGATGCATATGAGAATGGGTCTGGTTTTACCTCCAACTACCAGATAGAGTCTGCTAAGAAGAGGCAAGTGCCTCACAGTCTATTAGGGAGCATTTCCTTCACACCTGTTCCTGTTGAAAACCAGATGTTCCCACAGTGATTGGGCCCTTCGTTGTATCTGGAAAGTGGGGTGGTAGTCTTCGTCAGAAGCACAAGCTCCATAGGACAAAGCTCCACATAATTCAAGTTTGATACCTCTCGCCCCCACCACAGGCCTGTCCTGTGATCGTCATTAGCCAGCTGAGGTCAGCCGAGTGCATCCCATACCAGTGTGATTTCTCCTGTTCTGATTTCAGCTAGAGATAGACTCGCTCAATGCCCAGTCTATGGTACAAACAAAACAAAACCACGCGCTGAATGAGAAGATTAATGAAATGAGTGATTATTTCCAACTGAAAGAAGTGAGGCTGGAGCTGCAGGCACAAAATAAAGTGCTTAAACAACAAGTGGAAGAGAGCAAGAGTGAAAATCTAGTTCTCCTGAACCGTAGGTCTTTCCTTAGCTGCCCGCCATTATGTCATCCCAGTTACATTAGTACCTGGGAGATTTCCATTGGGAACCTTTTAGAAAGTTAAGATTATTGGGTGGACAGGGCTTCCTGGTTGCTTGCTATTGGAGAACTCACAGGGTCTCTGTAAAAAATGGTCTGTGTAGATGAAAAATCTACCTCTGTATTTTATCAGGCCCTCTGATTCATGGTTGGAAGGCAGCAGGGAGGGTGTGGGAGGTGGGTACTCCCCGCTTCCTCCAGGACGGTGGCCATGGGTTGAGAGCAGCAATGTGGTGAGTTACTACCTTAGAAGATGACCTTTTGTAGTCACTCTGTACCAATGGTCCCAACATGACCAGATTCATGGAGCACCTGCTTTCCCTGAACCCCAGGTTGCCTAGAGTCTAGGTCCTAGACCAGACATCCTCAAACTACGGCCCACGGGCCACATGCGGCCCGCCGAGGACATTTATCTGGCCCGCCGGGTGTTTTTGCCCCATTTTGTTTTTCATTTCAAAATAAGATATGTGTAGTGTGCATAGGAATTTGTTCATAGTTTTTTTTAAAACTATAGTCCGGCCCTTCAATGGGTCTGAGGGACAGTGAACTAGCCCCCTGTTTAAAAAGTTTGAGGACCCCTGCCCTAGATGGATCTTGATAGGAGCCTTCCCCTTCCACCCCCCCAGCCTTTGTGTTCTCGTAGGAAGTTCTTCCTGAAATTTGTGAATTGGGCGTCCTCTTTTTTGCCCATTTCACAGAATTAATACACCGTATATACTTGTATATAAGCCTAGTTTTCAATACATTTTTAATGCAGTTTTTGTGGTAAAACTAGGTACCTCGGCTGATATTCGGGTCGGCTTATACTCGAGTATATATGGTACTATAAACTGACTACAAAGAAAAGGGAAAGATTTATAAAAAACAAGAACCCGTCTTAGCTGGTTTTGTTCAGTGCAAGAGGCAAGCAAGATTGGTAATGCCCTGGGTTTTCTCCTCTAGGCATAACTCAGCCCTCTCCTGAGCTCCTGGTGCTTCAGAAGGAATTGATGAAAGCAGAAAACATGCTAGCGCACGAACGGAAGGAGTTCGAAGGTCAGCAACAAGCTCTGGGAAGACGGCTGCAGAGTGAAGTGAGTCTTGTGCTCTCGCCTTGTTTGATGCAACCTTAGCATCAATCTCTCACTCACACGCTGGCACACCACATACTATACTGTAACATAAAATAAGCGTCCTAACTATGCTGAAGGTCTGTCCCTTCTCATTTGAGAACATTCTCTAGTGGTGACTGACTTGCCTTCCTGACGC